AGCGGGGGAGCGGACCCCGCTGCTGCCGTGCTGCGTGGCCGGAGGCAAGGCTGGGAGAGACGGCGGCAGAGAGACGCTGGAGAGCGAGGCGGAAAATCCAGAGAGGGAGAGAAAGCCCAGGGAGGATTCGCCCACCGGACAAGCGCGAGGTGCCGGGGGCCGTGGGGACAGTCCACGGCAGGAGCTGAGCTGGGCCTTTGGGCTTGGGCTGGACCAGGAGCCAGGCTTTGGGAGCGGCACCAGCACCCAAAAGGCAGGCTGGGTCTGAGGAGTCTGGCAGTACGTGTGGAGCGGTTGCTCCTTCTCTCCTTGAAAGACATCGAACGGGGAAGCTGATCTGCAAGGGGCGAACGTGGAGGGGCTGCAGCGTGTGCCCACCGCTGGCCAAGTGTTTGAGTAGTATTTACCAGAGGCATTTAATCATTTCAGCTAGGAAGCAAGAGGTTCGAGGGAACAGTGCCCTAAGAAAACCACGTCGGCGACTAGGGAACGCCAGCAGTTTTGAGCGGCTACCCCCGGTCTCCACCTCTGCACCTTCCCCCTCCTCTCGCTCGTCAGCACGAAGCGTTTCTCTTCAAAAGTCCTTAGATTTCCTCCACTCCGTGTGCAAATATCATCACCAGTCCCGGCTCTAGCACCATGTCCTCGCCCATGTGCTGGTTTTCGCAGGCCATCACCACCACGGCCTGCTTGCCGGGGATGCGCTTGGCCACATAGTTCTCGTAGTACCGCCGGTTCATCTGGCGGGTCTCCAGCGTGGCCAGGCCCTGCGGCCAGTTCCGCTCGTGGGCGTTCTCGATCAGCTCGTTGATGATGGACGTGGGGCAGCCGCTCTCCACCAGCGAGCGCTTGATGACGGCCTGCAGCACCGCGTCTGGCGTGGAGATCATTCCACCCCACCGCGTCACCCGGGCCGGCTGCAGGGAGTTCACCCACCTGGCGACAGACACGGGACAAGTGGTCAGCACCGTGCGTTTTCGGTGGCTCCCGCCAGAATCGAGGAGCTGGTCCACTCCCCAGCGCTCGGGAGCAAGGCTGGACGGGGAATGCCTCCATTTCCCCACCCACCCCTTCCCTGTTTTCACCCCCAGACAGGACCCAGCTGCGGCGTTCAGCTCTGCTACTCCCTCCCCAGAGGGAGGGGAAGAAAGAATGAGATGAGAAGCTGCTTCCTCCGGCCTTTCTCACAAGGAGGAAGGAATCTGGCAGCTTCCTGCTCGCGGGCAGGATGCAGGTGGAAGAATAAAAAATGGTCCGAACCCATTGTGCAAGCAGCTCACGTGCCGCTCCCCAGCACAAACGCCCCCCGCAGCTGCCCCCTTGCTTTTGCGAAGCATTTTCGTCTCAAACCGCGCCTTTGCCTCGGAAGGCGCTTCACCCCCTCTCAAATCCATCAGCGAAGCTGGCAGACTCCCAGCTCCGCTCGCACCCCGACGCAGGGCTCCCCAGCTCCTCCCCGATCAGCACGAGAACCAGCACTTACTCCAGGATTTCATTGTATTCGATGGTCTCCTCCAGGTTCTGCAGGTTGGGGTTGACGCTGCGGATGGCGCGCATGTAGGCCTTCAGCAACTGAATGTCCCGCTTCTACAACAGGCAGGACACAGCGGGGTTTGCGAAAAGGAGTCAGCACCGCGGCTACACGTCACGAGACCAGACCCCGGCGCAGCGACAGGGAGCAACACGTCCCTGCCCGTCGGCTCAGCTACCGTCCCAGCGGCTGGACGGTGGAGGTGCAGAACAGCAGCGGAGCCCCGGCTGCGCTCAGCTCGGACTGCCCTGCAGCCGCTTTCTTCGTCCACAAACCTTCTTTGGTGTTTGGTGTCCAAGCAGGCGAGACTGACCCTTCCCATGAGAGACCCCCCTGCGAGACAGCCCCTCGCGCACACGGACATACCTGCTCGGCCAGCTGATGCTTGTGCTCCGCGGAGGTCTTCTCCAGCTCAGCGATTCTCGTCTGCTGCTGTTGCACCACAGATCTTAAATGCTTGATGCAGTTGTGGTTTGGCAGCTCATCTTTGGGCATTTCCAAGCTGCGGAGCATTACAAAAAAAAGTGGAGGTCCCACATTAGGGAAAGTTACACACCAGAGCACTTGGCATAAGCACGTAAACAGTCTCCAGAACAAATCCAGTCTCGGAGGACTTGCCAAGAGGCCCAGGAAGCCCAGCGCCGTAACCCCCGATAGGTGTAGGAAGGCCTGTTCCCTGCCGTGTCTCAGGGCCAAGCCAAATGGTCTCGGGGAGAGCTATGGGAACAAACCACCACCAGGTTGGCAGGCGATGGGGATCTTCCTCCTCCAAAGCGATCAGGGTTCAGAACCAGGTCCCACACCAGGCAGCCCATGGGCCTGATCCAGTCTCTGATAGTCTCCAAGCCAACAGTCAGTCACCATCTGGCTGGATGCTTACAACACGTGAGTGGGAAGGATATCAGCACCAAGAGCACAAGTGCCAAGGTCAGACCAGCCACCCACTACTGCTCCTGGCTCTCAGCAACGTGTAGGAGGGAGCAGAGCTCATGCTGGAACTTGTCCCAGGGGGCTGGAATGGCTCCGGGCGGATTCACAAAGGCTCCAGTACCCTGTTTCCAGCAGCCAACCGACACCCAAGCCCCAGCAACGAGCTGAAGAGCCAGGGGCTTTGAACCAAGCTTAAAAAGAAATGGGTTTGACTAAAAATCCTTCCCAACCCTTTCTGCAGCACCATGGCCTTCAAAGCCCTGCTCCCCCCGGAGCTCTGCGCCCAGGGGGCAAAAGGGAGGCAGGCACCGAACCCCGGTTTCCTTCCCCGAGCCTGCGGCCCCTGCTCTGCCCACCCTCTGTGTCAGAGCCCGCCAAGGCCATCCTCACCCGCATCCCTGCTCGCAAGTCACCGGGCGCTTTGGATTGTGCTCGCAGTCATTGAGGTGAGACATCAGGTTGTCAAGTCGCACAACTGCCGTACAGCCGAAAACAGCGTTGTCGCAAGTGATCTGCAGCTTCGAGAGCATATTACGCATGATCCGTGGGACGGGGCGGAGGTGGGCAACCGTCACGACGCTGCGGTCCACGGGGCACGTCTGCTGCTGGGAGAACCACTGGGTGATGCAGGCATTGCAGAAGGCGTGCTCGCAGTGAGGAGCCTGCGGAGGGGCAGAGAACAGCCACGCGTTACTCAGACCCGGCGGGGAAGCATTTGCTGGCTCGTGTGTGGAGGACAGCCTTGACCAGAGAACGGCTCTCAGCCTTCGAGGGGTGCGCAGCAGCTACGTGCTGCCTCGGGGAGGAAAGCAAAGGGAAGAGGCGCCTCCATTACACAAGCAGGCACGATGCGCGCACGGGGGGATGAGACACCAAAAGCCAGACCTCTAAAGACCAGAGCCATGCACAGCACCTTCCACTGCAATGCAAGAGGCACTGCTGCAGAGCCGTCCTCCCTTCCCTTGGAAAAGCAGGTGCCCGTCTTCGTCCACCTCTGGTTTTAATTTGTGTGCCCAGCCCCACCAAGGTACTCTCTTCCCCCCAGACACGTGGTGTCCTGCAAGCAGATCAGCTCCCTGGGACAGGGCACGGACCCCTCAGAGCAGTGCTCCTGCTCTGCTCCGTCCCAGGTAATGCTGCCTCCTGAAAGGGCTGAGGGGGCAAGACAGCTCAGGATGCTAAATTTAAACATTTTTCCAGGGCAGATTAGAACATTACTTCACTGTATTTACACAGCTGGGCTCTGCTCTTGCATTCAAGCTGCAGTTGAAAGAGTATTAAGGTTGGGGACGGGGAGCGGGACACACGCCAGCTCTTTGGACAACACTGAGCTTTCTTCCACAGAGCAGAAACCCGGAGTTACAGGAAGGTCAGACGCATTCAGAGCTAAGTCTCATTTACAAGCTGTTCCCTCAGCGCACAGTGCCTTGCAGGCTGCCTTGTACCAGACAACAAAGGCAGACGACGATTGCAGGACGTACGCTGAATTAGGATTCACCCATTCAAGCTACAGGACCATCTTGGGAGTTTTAGTGCAGCCCCTGTGGCATCGCAGCTCGAGCCAGCCCAGCCCAGCACCTCTGAGCCAGCAGGCAGCAGAGCCTGTGTCCGACAAGGCAGCACACGCTGGGCTCTGGCACAGGGACAGCCACTCCTCTCCCTCGCGTTTTCCTGAAGTCCCGCTCTCCGAGGCTTCGGCTTTCCGCTGTCCCCCGCAAAGCTGGCCTCTCTGCTCCCCTTGTGGCATTTTACCCTCTCAAGCCCATGCCCATCCCCACTGAAGTTTAGTGACTGGGGTACCCCAGTGTCACCAAGTGCAGACTGGAGATGCCACAGATAAATCACACCAGTTTCACTGGCTACTGCACACAGAGGGTCACTCCGTGTCCGTAACACAGGGACGGGCCCTGGGGAATCTCCATCCTTGGAGAAACTGAAACCTTGGGGCTGGATACGGCCCTGAGCCCTCTGAGGTATCACTGGAGGTGGCCCTGCTTTGACCAGGCAGAGGGACCTCGCTGGGAGGGAGGGAGGAACGAGGAAAGAGTCCTCGGGAATTTGCTCCCTTCAAACCAAGGCTTGCGCCTAGCTACAAACTCAGCCTCATCGCAGCTCCAGTTACTGCAGTGCTGGCAGGAGCAGGAGGGCCGGTATCCAACAGACAGGCTGTTAAACACGCTTGAGAAAAGCCTGGGAACAAGGGAGTTTGTGATATCACATTCTCAAAAGGAGATTTAAATAAACCTGCAACTTTCCCTCTGGTTTATGTGATGGCCTGTGATCGTGTTCACATGTTGACAGACTTTTTAAAAATCAAAGCTTGTTTGACATAACAGATTAGCGTAGCTGGAAGGTGCTAACGCACGGTTTTACCTACAATAGATTGCAGTTCCACGCACCCCCAGCCCACTGGCACAGGGTGGGCTACAGCACAGAGCCCCAGCCTCCCTGGCATGCCCATCGGGCAGCTTACCAGCACAAACCACAGCTTTTGTGATGTGGTTTGTTATTAAGCAATGAAACTGCAATAATTATGCACACGTTTCAGATTAGCTCAGTTTTATTTTAATCCGTTTTATTTCAAATGAAGCTGGATTTACGCAGAGGGTACTGAGCTACCCAGCACACGGCCACAGCTCAGCCAGCGTAGCAACACCTCCAGTGGCACACAGACCCTGCAGGGAAGGGGCAGGGACCAGGGGGACAAAGTCCCACGTAGAAGCCAGCTCCGCTCAGCCAGCAGTGCTCCACTCCCGTCCGCACTGGTGAGGGGGCTATAAAAGCCCCCACTATCCTCTCCCCAAAGTAACAGGGCTTAGGAGGACACAGTGACAAATACAGCCCTTCCAGCACCGAAAGGCACAGGAGGGCTGGAGACTACGCAGTGCTCCGGCAGGACGCCGTGCTGGAAGAGCATATAATAGAGCTCACAGGAAAGCGCCGTCCAACAGCCCCTCCGCTTCGCGGGAAGCGGAGGGAGGAGTGGAAGCAGCAGCTCCCCGCGCACAGCCTCCTTCCCCGAGCGGCTGCACAAGCTGCAGAGCGAGCTGGAGGATCCACCAAACAACCCGGCTGTGCCGGGCCTGGGCAGAGCAGCGTGCTGGTACCAGGTCTGTGGTCTGTCCATCCTCCGAGCTACGTTTGGTGGCAGGAGAGGAGCCGGAGAGTTGAGCCAGGCTCCCAACAGCAAGTAAAACAGATCAGCTCTGTGGCATGGAGGAAGCATGTGTGCAGGGAAGCAGAGAGGGTCAACCAAGCATGAAGCCATAAGCGAGGGACAGATTTTAGCACAGCTGCTGCCATCTCTGCCTTGGGACACCATCACTGGTACGCAGCTGCATTGAGCTTTGGTAGAGTTAAGAAGGGAGTAAGGAATGAAAGAGTCAGGGAAACCTGTCCCAACACAAGCTTATTCCTTCCTCACACCTCCCTGCTGACCCCAGGACATCCCCCAAACCCAGAACTTCAGTTCCTTTCCACCAGAACTCACACAACCGCAGACTTTTATCCCTGGTGCTGCTTCCTTACCCATGCTGTTGCCTTAAACCACTAGTAGGAAAGTTAAGAATCCATTGAGCTCACCTAATGCACACGCTGTGTGCGGCGCCCATCATCTGATCAAGGCATCTAGAAGTCTGGAGCTGCAATCGGAGGCTTTCAGTAGCCACAGTCAGTGCTCAGACAGAAACCTACCTGAACCGGCTCCTCCAGGACCCCGCTGCAGATGGGGCATATAAGATCTTCATCAACATCCCCCTGAAAACGTGCTACATCATACCCCATTGCTCATCACCGATGCCAGAACCCTGTGGAGGGAAGAAGAAGAGTGGTTAGGAGCAGCCGAGCATCCCGTGATGTGTGGACAGAGCAGGTCCCGGCCCTCGCAATGTCCTGGTTCCCGAATTTCTGCCCTCTCCTCCCAACGTGGCCAGCTGGGGTAGCCCCGGGCACGGCTGGAGCTCACAGCCGAGCGCCGTACGGAGGAGCACGCAGGGGGAAGCGGTCTCAGCCCCCTCTGTGTGTGCTGAACTGCTCCTCCGTTTTGACACGCTGCTGGCATTGCTTCTCTCCCACACATGTTATTACTAATCCTGCTGCAATTTTTCTACTTGCTGGTTGTTTTTGCACAGTTCTGTTTGGTTTATAGAGGACAGCACAGGGGCACCTCTAACGAGTGAGCCCAGTCCCGTGGACTGAGCAGCGGGATGCATGCCAGGGACCGTTCCTGGGTGCAGGCAGACACCCACCAGCCTCGCCACATGGGTTGCGGAGGAACCAGCTCCCTCCCTGGGAACAGCAGCCTCGCTGGCTCCCGGCACCCCGGCTGACCGCTGCAGGTATTGTCCCTCTGCTGCCATCTCCAGCAGCTTTCCCACTCAGCCGAGCAGACGCAGAGTGAAGACGCCCAACAGCATCTGCAGCAGAGCGTGACCTCAGCTGGGTGCTCCAGCGCCTGGACAAGGAGTCCCCACAACTTGTCAGAGCTGTTGGGGCTCCTGCTCCCAGAACGGAGGGTGTGCAGCCCCGAGAGCAGCCCCTCAGGCACCAAGTCCCCATCCCTCCCTGCCGAGGACAGCATTCCCAGGTAAAACTGTTCACCAGCTTCTTACACTACCTGCCAGAGGCCGACCTTGAGCTCTGCCCCGGAGCAGTTATCGGTTCCTCTGCAGCTTGTCCCTAAAGAGCCAGCTCCTCCTCTCCTATTCTCACCAACATCAAAGTCGGTGACAAACCGCCACGGCCGTACAGATTCACGCTACGCTTGGCTCCAGATAAAGGAGTCCCCACCCCAAACACAAGCAGGAGCCAAGAGGGGACGGGAGGTGTGCGAGGGCAGTACCATGCCGCATGAGGCTCTGAAACCACCATCCATGCGGTGAGGAGACTGCGGCATGGCAGCACTTCCAGCTGTGCAAACACCAGGAGCATTACCTGCTCTGGAGGGCAGGTAGGAACTCGCCCTGCTGCTGCTCTGCAGCCAGATGTGGCCACCCAGCCACAGCCAGCGGTGCCGAGCTCCTGCACCTCAGCCGAGTTGCTTGCACAACACCACGTACCTCCCCAGCCAGCTCTTCGCAGCTGAAAGGTTTGGCTCTAGACAGATGCAGCAAGCAGAGCTGGTTGTGGAAGCCACGGTGTCCGCTCAGCTAGAGCAGCAAGGGAGGAGAGGCGATGGACGGACAGAAAGGGAGGCTGTAGGTAATGCAGTCGCTTCATGGTTGGCCCTTGGGACCCTCCCCAAGTCAAAGGGCAGCAGGGAGGGACTTTAATCAACTCACTGGGCACCGTGAAAGTCAGACAATAAATCAGCTCCACGTGCGGATGGATTCTTTGCTTCCACAGAGCAGGCACAGACAAAAGACTCCTCTGATGGAGGCTGGGGTGGGGAAAGTCCCTGCGTCAGTCTGCAATTCAGATAAGATGAACGGCTGCAGGCTGGAAGGAGAACTGATCTCCGGATCTCCGAGCAACCAGGATCGGTTGCTCTTAAACCTTCCCACGCCTTTGGACAGACGCTGCTCTCCTCCACTGGGAAGGAACCCAAATTCCTTCCCATCCCCTTATGAGCCACTCACACTGCAAGTCTCAGCACCTCCAACACATTTACATTGGGTTCAAACCAACTGGAAGGGCAAACACAGATGTGGAGGACCCAGCACAACAGCGCCTGGCTGCCAGCTGAGCCCCAGTACCCATGCAGCCTGCTAGCCCCCCACCACAGAGGTGCTTCACTCTGCGGCTGGGACCACTCTGACCTTCTCTGTTGCTCAGTGCTCAGGCACTGGTTCACGCCCCGGTGTCTTAACGGGTCTCTGAATCCACGAGCAGCTCCACAAACAGCCTGCCCCCTCATTCCGCTCGGGAGACACAGCACCTGCTCCTGCACGGGCACTCAGGTATCGAAGTGGAACTGCGCTGGGCAGCACTTCTTCAAAACCACACTCCCTAGCAACTCGGCTTTCTTTGTCTTTTGCTTCCAAGCTCCCAAATTCCAACATCATCCCTCCAACAAACAGCTGGGCAAGACACTAAATGTCTTCACATCCACTCAGGAAAGAGCCGAGCAGAGGGCAAAACACGAGCACCGAAAGCCAGCCTTGCCATCTGCCAAATGGAAGCCACCATCAAAACTTCCCCCAGGAAAAAATTCAGCACCTGCATGAGTCTAAGCACCTCTGAATTATTCTCCTTCCTCGACCCAGCTGTTCCCCCTTCTGCCAGAGATCATCTGTGGGGCTCTGCCAGCACGCTGAAGCAAAGAGCACCCTGCTGCTATCGCGAAGCGGAAACAGGACAGCTGAAAGCATCTGCAAGTGCTCGAGTGAGATGGAGCCGGCAACCCAATCTCCCTCCTGCTAGATCCAGAGGTGAATTAATGACCTGGCCCCACAGGATACTGGATACGCTCATTCTTCCCCGGGCTCAGCAACCTGCAGGATGGCCCCAAAGAAGGTATCGTATAGCTAATATGAGCAAGTCCTACTTGCGCAGTGCTTCTCAGCAAGAGCGATGATTCACGGGCTGCAGGGATCCATCATGTGCTGAACCGAAGCACAAAGAGCTTAGAAAACCTCTTTCTTGGAAGGGCTTGCAGAGGCACTCAGACACCAGGGTGAAGTCGAGCCAAACCATCCGCAACGCGGGTGAGACACGATGCAGGGGAGCGGGGGCTGAGCAGGAACCCAGACAAACCCACTGTTACAGGAAATTGCTTCTGCAGTAAACAGCAACTGCCACCTATGATTACACCTGATTTAAGTGAACGAACTTCCCAATCCTGCCCTCTCCAAATACACACAGCTTCTTGACCCCAGCACCATCAGCCTCCCTAGGGCTGGGCAGGGAGGAGGGATAGTTCGCACAGATCAGAGGCCAGTCACAGAACTGGGCTTGAGCCCAAATTACAGAGAAAAGCTGGGATAAGTCACTTTTTCCCCCCTTGTCATCACGCTCCTGCCTTGTCTTTGTAGATTGTCATCTTCTTGGCCTTGGGGACTTCGAGTGCCTGCACGCTGCTCAACACAGAAGAGATCTACATAGCAACAAGGGCTTGATGGTATCAGAGAGGATCAGTAATTAACAAGTCAAAAGCACTTTGACATTCCTACCCTTACCCAAAGCCTCCTCGGCATCCACCAGACAAGAGGAAGGTTCCTAATAAGCCCTTGGGGAAGTAGAGGAGAGGAAAGAGGAAGGCAACAACTCACTCCCCAGCTGGTTAGAGCGGTGCTGCACCGAGGACAGCCCCAAGCCTGTCGCACCCCCACAGCAGGGATCTCCCAGCCCCCCGATTGCTACGCAGAGGCCAGCATCTCATCTCAAGCCCCGACTTGTGCTGCTCTTCCGTCCTCCCCATAAACCTGCCATTTAAATAGGCAAATGTGACATCTAAAAGTTAAGACAGACCATCACCGTCAACTCCCCCTACTCTGGTCACAGGACATTCATTCCTACATACCCAATGCATTGCAGTTTTGCTCCAAATCTTGGGCAAAAAGGGGCTTCGTTTGGTTGACTGGCATGAGCTTGCCTCCGCCCTTCAAATGGCAGCGCAGGATCACAGCGAGCAAGGCTGGGGCTCCTCTGACCCAAAGCATATCTGCCCGTCTTTCATGTTAGCAGCAACTATACAGGTAAGATTTCCGTGGTAATACTGTGCTGTCTTCCAGCACGATAACTAACTGTTCCTGTCCCCAGAGGAAAATTCAATTGCTGAGAATATTTTTTCTGTTGACAAAAGGAAAATTAATGGCTTAAAAAAGCTCCCCCTCCTCCTTGGAAAAAAAAAAAGTGCCTGCATGGGAGCCCGTGGATTGTTCCACAGCCCCCAAAGCACATGTTCACATGTTCCCTCCTTTTTGCCACAATATGTTCAAGCCGCTGGATCCCAGACACTCCGGCTGAGCCAAGCTTTCTGCCTGGTTGACTGCTCCAGGCACAGTCTGTGGAGCAAGCCAGCACCTACCAGCTCCGGAGGAGCTCTCCACTCTGCCGGCACAGGGAGGCCGACTCATCTGGGGCTCGCAGGGTCGTACCTCCATGCTCCTGCTCACCCACACAGCCAGCTCTCCTCGGTCAACAGCTGTTTCAGGCTGCAAGCACACCTGGGCAAGGATCCGGGGCAACCTGGAAAGGGCCTGGCCCTAGACAGCTTTGCTGGGAAAGCAGCATCTTCCACAAGATCCTACCAGCATGCTGTTGGCTGCAGTACTACGTATAGGGCTACAGCTTGATATATCCTCACTAGATAAAGAAGCGGGGGCCAAGGGGTCCCCCCAGCTCCTGGGGCAGGAGCAGACACCTCCACCTGCACCATGCGAACAGCGTGCCAGGCTGTCGGGAGACACTGACTCACTCCCAGGAGCTGACGAGTACGAGTGTGAGCAACACGAGCAAGGACCAGCGCAGAGGCAGACAACAGCACTGGAAGGGAAGCGAGTTTCACCCAGGTAAATGATGTGCTGGCTACAAAACTCCCCAGGCCCCCAGCCGCCCGGAGCCTGAGAAGGTGAAGGTTTGAAGGAGGCACCGACCCACATCGACCCGCACAGCTGTGCCAAGCAGAACAGGCGACAGGGACGACTCTGCACGCACAGCTAGAGCTCACCGAGATAAACCAACCTGGCCCAAGGCAAACGATAAGTGACAACAGCGAGAACAATGTGGTCGTGGGAGCGGAGCCAGCACCTACCTACTAAACACACGGGCAAAAAATACATTTGGAAAAATCAGAGCACAATGGTCAGTAAAGCCAACGACTGGATGGAGAGCAGCAACCACCCCAGGGCCTTGTGTGCAAACGCAA